TCCTCCTTCCTCCTTCCCTCCCTCACTCCCTCCTTCTCCCCCCTAGACGCACGCAAATCCCTTCGCCATAGAAGGTGTTTTAACGGCAGACTGTCTCATCCGTAACGCAAACGAAGCCAACTGCAACAACGAACAGCTTTCCGTTAGGGCAGACGCACACCTGGTGGGGAGGGGGGAGGGGGGGAGAGGTAAAAGTGTTAGTTAAAGATTCTCGGAATATTTTCTCTGTTTGTTTTTTTTTTGTTTTGTTTTGTTTTGTTTCTGTGTTTGTGTTTGTGTTTGTGTTTGTGTTTGTATCTGTATGTTTCTGTTTTCTCTCTCTGTCTCTCTGTCTCTCTTCTCTCTCTCTCATCTCTCTCTCTCTCTCTCTCTCTCTCTCTCTCTCCTCTCTCGCAACTCTTCTCACTCACTCACTCTCATCCTCCTCATCTTCGCCTGTCTGCCTCTGTATGTCTGGCATCTAACCTATCTCGTCTCTCTCTCTCTTCTCTCGTCGCTCAGGCTCTCTCTGCTCTCTCTCTCTCTCTCTCTTCCTCTGCTCGTCTCTCACTCTCTCAATCCGCACATCTCTCTCTCTCTTTCTGCCCCTGTCAGTTGTATGTCGCATCTCTCCTCTCTCTCTCTCCTCTCTCCTCGTCTCTCTTCTTCTCTCTCTCTCTCATCTCACTCCTCTCTCTCTCTCTCACTCTCATCTCTCTCATCTCTCTCTCTCAATCTCTCTCTCTCAATCTCTCACTCTCTCTCTCCTCAGAGCGCTCACTCTCTCTCCTCTTCTTCTCTCTCTCTCTCTCTCTCTATCCTCTCTCTTCTCTCTCTTCCTCTCTCTCTCTCTCCTCTCATCTCTCTCTCTCTCTCTCTCTCTCCTCTCTCTCCTCTCAATCTCTCACTCTCTCACCTCTCTCTCTCTTCTCTCTCTCTCTCTCTCTCGTCTCCTCTCTCTCTACCCTCCTCTCTCTCTCTCTCTCTCTCTCTCTCAATCTCGATCTCTCCTCTCCTCTTCTTCCCTCTCTCCTCTCTCTCGCTCTCGCTCTCTCTCTCAATCTTCTCTCTCTCTCTCTCACCTAAAGCCCAAACAACCCTCTCTCTCATCTCTCTTCTCTCTCTCTCCTCTCTCTCCTCTCTCACTCTCTCTCTCTCTCTCTCCAATCTCTCTCATCTCTCTCTCTCTCTCTCCTCTCTCTCAATCTCTCTCTCCTCTCTCTCTCTCTCCTCTCTCTCTCCTCTCTCTCTCTCTCTCTGCTCTCTCTCTCTCAATTCTCTCTCAATTCTCTCTCTCTCTCTCACTCTCTATCTCTCTCATCTCCTCTCAATCTCTCTCTCTCTCTCTCTCTCTCTTCTCTCCTCAATCTCTCATCTCCCCCTCTCTCTCCTCTTTCTCGCTCATTTTCTCTCTCATCTCCTCTCTCTCTCCTCTCTCTCTCACTCATCTCTCTCCTCTTCTCTCTCTCAATCTCTCTCTCCTCCTCTCTCTCTCTCCTCGGTCTCCAAACGATCTCTCCACTCACGTCACTCTTCTCTTACTTCTCTTTCTTTCTGCCTGTCTGTTTTTATGTCTGCATCTCTCCTCCTCTCTCTCCTCTCTCAGTCTCGGGTCTCCTCTCATTCTCTCTCCTCTCAATGCTCCTCTCCTCTCTCTCTCTCTCTCCTCACTCTCTCACTCTCTTTGGCGAGCTAGGTCTCTCTCAATCTTCTCTCTCAATCCTCTCTCTCTCATCTCCACTCTCCGTCTCTCTCAAATCTCTCACTACTTACTCTCTCGTCCCTTTCTTTCTCACCTCTCTCTCATCTCTCTTCTCTCTCTCTCTCGTCTCCGTCTCTCTCTACTCTCTCTCTCTCTCCTCTCACTCCTCCTCTCCTCCCTCAATCCTCTCACTCTCTCTCTCTTTCTTCCTCCTCTCTCTCTCTCTCTTCTCTCTCTCTCTCTCCTCCTTCTCTCTCCTCTCTCTCTGCTCTCTCTCTCTCTTCTCAATCTCTCACTCTCTCCTCTTTCTTTCTTCTCTCCTCCTCTCTCTCTCTCTTCTCTCTCTCTCTCTCTATCTCTTCCTCTCTCTCATCTCTCTCTCTCTCTCTCTCTCTCTCTCTCTCTCTCTCTCTCTCTCTCTCTCTCATCTCTCTCTCTCTCTCTCTCTCTCTCTCTCTCTCTCTCTCTCTCTCTCTCTCTCTCTCTCTCTCTCAATCTCTCTCTCTCTCTCTCTCTCTCTCTCTCAATCTCTCTCTCTCTCTCTCTCTCTCTCTCTCTCTCTCTCTCTCTCTCTCTCTCTCTCTCAATCTCTCTCAATCTCTCTCTCTCTCTCTCTCTCTCTCTCTCTCTCTCTCATCTCTCTCTCTCTCTCTCTCTCTCTCTCTCTCATCTCTCTCTCTCTCTCTCTCTCTCTCTCTCTCTCTCTCTCTCTCTCTCTCTCTCTCAATCTCTCTCTCTCTCTCTCTCTCAATCTCTCTCTCTCTCTCTCTCTCTCTCTCTCTCTCTCTCTCTCTCTCTCTCTCTCTCTCTCTCTCTCTC